CGGCAGGACACGGAAAGTAAGTATTTTAGGAGACTAGAGTGAGACGGGAATCGTCTTATCATTATGTACTTTGCAACTGAAATTACTTTACATATTACAGTTAGTCAATGTGCACCAACATAATCCAACACTTCGTGATTATATTACAAATTAGTTTATAACAATTGCGTGAGTATGAAGTTACAGTAGGAGTATGAGTGTTTCGGGAGCTTGGTAGTCCGGGGGGAGGGGGTGGAATGTCCTGACGACTGGGTGGGAGGAGCGACGAGGCATAAGCCTCGGTGGAGGATAGGGTAGAGGTGGGCGTAGTTAGTGGCCTGACCCCGTCTCCGGAAGAGGCAGCGACGGGAGGAGACTGAGTGAGGGTGTGGTAGCTCGACGGGCTGGAGTGTGGAAGTTTTGGAGTGTTGTGTAGTGGAGTTAGACCGAAAATACCACATCACAAATAATTAAACAACAAGCAAGAAAGTGATATAGACATTTCTCAGGAAACTCGTGACATTTTCCTTTGGTCTTATGAAATAAATAATAATAATGTTAATACACATGACAACACTATTAGTGAATTAATTCAGTGCAAATCCAAAAATCACATGTCAATATGTCTTACATAGGATAAATGGACATGTCATAAAGTAATGAAAACAAATCGAAAAGAAATTAGCATAAACGGATCTAAACTAATAAGCGACGTTGGATGAATTAGCAAAATGCATAAAAGAATTACAATTACTATTAAGACAACGTAACAATCCTAAAAAAAACCAAGAAAGCTCATGGGTCGGCCGACCTTAACTGTTTTTATGTACACGAAACTGGTATGGGAAACTAGTACTAGATGGTACGTATAACTTCTACTCTGTCTAGTGAGTGATCTGATTACGATGGAGCAATGATCGAATCTCCTTTGTTGAGACAACGTATCCTCAACTTCAGGTCTTTTTTTGGATCTTATTGTTACGTAAATAAAAAAAGCCCAGTATTCCCTGATCGTTAGGAACTGCTCCGCTCAACTGTTCGTGAAGTACTAAATTTTTCCTCGTTTTGAGTCACTGGGAACTGAGACGAGCGGAGGACGAAATCCCTTTTTCTACGAGCGCCTGTTTAGTCCGTGTTAAGGAGGTTCGACAAGGGACTGTTATTTTGAGACAAGACCGTCTGATTACCAAGAATGAGTTCGATTTTGAGTACCATGACAGACCTATCGCAACTTAATGGACTCCCGGACGACGAATTAAAATAAGTCATGACTACTAGAAACTAACCTAATGAACCAATTTGACCTCTAATTAAAGTTATAGTAAATCATTAATTTTACGAGGGTAATAGTAGTTTACTAATTTCATGAATACAAATCCTGAACGTTGTTTAATTAACAAGGACTCTGTGACCAGGGTTTAAATTTTAATCTGACCTCTGAGACAGGATATTTATTCGATCGATTTGATCTGAACTTGTATAACATTAATTAACAATACATTTACAGAGAAACAAAGAACGAGATTTATAACAAGAAGAACAACTCACGCTCTTCCTGTTTGTTGTAAGTTAGCTCTGTTTTCCTAGGGGTAATTAATCCAATCTGACTTCTCATAAACACATCGGTCAGTAGGATTTACTCGTATGTCTCCGACCTTACCATTGAACTTCGTGTGAGGTTCTAACTTCGTATAACACGTAATTGCCATACGAATTTTCAGCCAAGAAACACACGAGAGCATTACACCAGAACAACTTACAACTTCACCTAGGACGACACTAGCGTTCTTGATGCACGACATCTTATGTTAGTTAAAATATACCGCAGTAAATTTCTTATTGACAAAATTACCTCTCCGGCAATAACTGTGCCCTCACAGCCGGGCCTGCGCGTCTTGCAAGCCAACCACGGATTATTTAAACAATCGAGTTCAATTCCCAACGTACACATTCTTTTACAGCAACCATTGCAGTCAATAACGCCTTATACACATAACCCTTTGACAAAATTATGGTGTCTTAAACTAATGCTGAAAATATTGCCGTCCTAAACGTAACGCTGTCGGGGGCAGCTGCGCCGTATCCCTCTTCTGGTGCTCCTATTGTCCTTTCGTTGGTCTTAGCGAGAGAAGGCCGAGTGCGGCGAGGGTGCGCTTCCCGTCGAACTACCCTCTCTCGAGGGAGCGATAGAGAAAATCATAGTGAGCGCAATAAACCAAATTAATACTACATTGAAATATTGAAGGAACCTGAAAAATCCTAGATAGGACAGAGCTCCAAATCTAAGATTGCTTATGTAATTTCTGTCAGTCACGACAGTTCACTGGTCTTAGGACGTCAAGGTGATCGTATGCTTTTTTGACAATACGTTAGTTAGTCACAAGCACTTTACAAGGTTCTGAAGTCAAATACTTGGTCGTAAGTTAACTCTATTGAAGGATACATTATTCACCTATTACTTTATACCCCCACCCACCCTTTGATTCTCCCTCAGTATCTCCCTCCTCTCTCTCTGCCCCTAGTTTGATGACTCATGGTTGATTTCATTCACACTCTTCATTAATTCCTGCAGATTGGCCGGAGATTTAATTATTGATGCAGTCTTTGTGAGAGCAGAGAGGTAATCTGTGAGCTGCAGAGCTGAGAGAGAGAGAGAGAGAGAGAGAGGGGAGGGGGGGATATTTGCAGTTACCAATTACCAAATATGCAAGGGGGCAGCTTGTCATGATGTGCTGCAGCATGTCTAGCAGGAGTAATGTTTCTAAAAGTGTGTGTCAGGGCTATCTGTCCTGCATGGAGACAGCTTTTTGCTTTTTCTACATTGGTTTCTCACAGGAATGTGTGTCGTAATTAAATCTTATTTCTCTTACAGTTATCCTCGTTATGGTTGATTCATTTTCCTTGTATTTTAACCGCTTTCTTTAATATGAATGTTTGTTTCTTGGTGCCCAGATTTCTACCTCCATTATATTTCCAAGTTTAAATAAAGGTTGGTACCTACCTTGGTCTACCTGTCCTGCATGTAGACATGTGTTTGAGGATTTGATGATGTCACATAGCAAAAGGTTGTGTGTTGTGTGATCCTTAAAATCGCTTCATTGATTGGATAATGTTGCAGATGATAGCTGTTTTTTACTGAGCTAGATTGGTAACATGGAATAACATTTAGAGCATGCTTGATCACTCTTATCCTTGGCCCAATTAATTAATATTAATGACCTCCTATTTCTCTTACAGTTGTCCTTGTTATTTTCCTTATATTTGAACGGCTTTCTTTAATATGAATGTTTGTTTCTTGGTGCCCAGGTTTCTTTGTTTGTTCTTGAATTTACTCGGATGAGAGGATAGACAGCAGCACAGTTACGGACGACAAATTAGAAACATACATTATATGGTCACAATCATTAATGTCCTCCAAAGTATCTACAGACAGAGTTCCCTGCTTCTCGGTCCTTAAGAAACACTTTAGATACATGAGCTAATGGGTTATTGCTCATTTCATGGGAGCATTATGTTGTTTAATACCATGTCAGTGCTCCCTCCTGTATACCTGTGTGTGTGTGTGTGTGTGTGTGTGTGTGTGTGTGTGTGTGTGTCGCAGAGAGGGCCAATTCAATGGAGGTATCGAATTCACTCTGGATGAAGACTGCAGCTCGGCACTTTCTACATGAATCTATGCCTGTCCAGGGATCATTTGCCATGCTTAATTTAGTCTTGTGTGCACAGAGTGGCAATTTCAACCAAGTAATCACAGCACCCCCAAGAGGGAGACCGGTGTGTTGCACTAAAGAACAAAAGTCTCTCCCTCTCATCTCGCCTCTCTCATGTCCTTCCACTTTCCTCCTCCTCCTGCTCTGCTGCTCACACACAAGAGCAGATAAGGGACGCTTGCCTTATTCCCTTGTGACGCCTTTGTAATGCAGAGAGTAGTGGCGCCTGGAAGAAGTGTTTGCTGTTTGGTGCGTTTTGGGAATTTCCGAGCGGATTCGGCGGAGTTCCAGGCTGAAGGCTGAGCTGGCAGAGACACACGGAGGCTTCTCAGGAGGAGAGAAACGTCTCCGAGTCCCCAGACAAGCTTAGGCCGAAAGCTAATACCAGTTATTGTAGCTGTGCGCCCTAGTTTGCTGTGAGCTCTGTCCCATATATCCTTCTATTAACTGAGTCTGACATATCCATAAGAATGATGGAGGGGCTTTTTTTGCAAAGCCATTTCCTTCCTGTGCTGAATTCTAATGCCTGTACAAATGGGGCAGAACAGTGTGCCTGATCTGATGGCGTGTGTTTTCAGAGGCGACCGTCATCACCACCCTGCCCAACACGCTGGACATCACCGTGGGGGAGAGCGTGGTCCTGCCCTGCCAAGTGAGCCACGACCCCTCCCTGGAGCTCAAGTTCACCTGGTTCTTCAACGAGCAGCTCATCTACTTCGGGAACCATGAGGGATTCTTTGAAAAAGTGGGAGGCGTAAGTGTACAATCTAATGTTTTCTGACAACCACCATGCTGTGTTGCTGTGAAGACAGGTTTCCCATTCACAAACAATTAAAGATGCAGCAAGGTGTTCAAAATCAAGTTGCTACATTGTCATGATGGCTAGTATGGTATGGACACTTTCACTAGGTACGAAGCAACTTTCCTAAAACTTTTCTTATACATACGACTTGGACATACATTGTTCAATATTGACAGTTGATATAGACATCTATTAAACATACCTAGCTTACATGTTACATGAAATACCAGCGAGAAACAGCAGCTAGTAGCAGTGATAAGCGAGAACACACAAAATAATATCTTGCAGGTAGTAAAAAAATCACCTTTTTGTGTCTCAAAATGCTAACAGACTATGTTGCTTAATGGCATACAAGACTTCTTATATATGTAAGTAAAGTTAGCATAACTATGAACAAGCAACATTAGCATCTATAACAAAAAGAAAAGCAACGTTACCATAACAACATTTAGGTGTTAACAAGATAAAAGTAGATGTAACATAATCAGTAAAAGGACAGCAAGCGTAACTTAATCAAAGTAACATTAGAAATCCAAAAAATGAAATGTTAGCATTAAAAAGTAACGTTAGCATAATAAAATAAAAGCAGAAACCGTCTGATAGCAAAATGGAAGTAACGTTAGCATAACAAATGTCTGAGTGAGGTCAACATATATTAATTTCAGAGAGTAGAAGCTGCCTCATTGGTATTGTTGTATGACCTTCATGCTGTCTTGCATAAAAAAATACTTCACTAGATTTATACCAGATATTTGTTAGATCTCATACATACTGTATTCAAGCAATGTTTCCTGTTATTAAACTGTAAATACAGGATGTGCAATGAGAATGACTCACCTCACACAGCCACAAAAAGCCTTGATGTGATTTAGTTTCCATTTGAAATATTATGGTAAAGTGCGATAGAGAAATCAGGCTGCCCCTCTAACAGCTGTCACCACAAGTTGCTCTCTGAACTTCAAATGAAACTTCATAACAGTGTTGGTTCCTTTGACTCAATACAGGAAATACTTCCTCACCAGTTTCTGCTCAAAACTATCCCCACCTCATGAAGCTGAAGAATGCTCTTTTCATTACCGCCCCTGTGCGCTTCTGCTACTTAAAAAGACACCTTCAGAAATTCCATTGAATAAAGGTCAAGAGGTGACTGAAGATTCATTGGTACATCAATACTACACTTTCTTTTTTCTTTTAGCAGGGTCATGATAAATTCAGCCGCAGTGCAGGGGGAATGTTTGTATCAAGTGTATTATTTATGGGCTGAAAATTGCTGCCTCTGGTTTATTTTTAAAATAAATTTACATACACACCCTGCAACCAGTCTTAGTCAGCCGGTATATACTTTTTAAAAGGTTTGTAGCTTACATCCCAGCTTGTAATACGCAGGGCT